CCATTCCCGGCCCCGTTCCCGATCTCTGCCCCGGTCCTGGTCCCCGCCCGGGTCCAGGTCCCTGTTCCCCGGTGCCTCTTCCTGTCCCAGTCCCATTTCAGTTTTCTGCCCTATTCCCAATCCCGATCCCTGCCCCGTTCTAGTTCCCTGCTCCATTACCGGTCCCCGTCCCTGCCTCGTTTCCTGCCCCATTCCCGTTCCCATTCCCTGCCCTATTCCCATTGCCATTCCCAGCCCCGTTCCATCCTCATTGCCATTCCCATTCCAAGGCCCCGCTCCCGTTCCCATTCCCCTTCCCTGCCCCATTCCCCTTCCCATTCCCGTTCCCATTCCCGCTCCCTGCCCCATTCCCGTTCCCTTTCCCACTCCCATTCCCCTTCCCTGCCCCAATCCCCTTTACCGTTCCCATTCCCTCACCTCGCAGCCATCCCTTCCCGCCGCTCAGCGCCGCCATCTTGGCCGTGGCCGCGCAGGGCCTTGTGGGAAGGTGGAGGACGCGCAACTTCCTGTCTGCCCCGTCTCCATGGCAACGGCATCGCCACAGCGCGGCCTGCGCGGGGCCGGGGGTCCCTGAGCCCCCAAACCTGGGCAACCAGCACCCAGAGAGCTCCCTGACCCAACCTTGGGGGTCCCTGAGCCCCCAAACCTGGGCAACCAGCGCCCAGAGAGCTCCCTGACCCAACCCCGGGGGTCCCTGAGCCCCCAAACCTGGGCAACCAGCACCCAGAGAGCTTCCTGACCCAACCCCGGGGGTCTCTGAGCCCCCAAACCTGGGCAATCAGTGCCCAGAGAGCTCCCTGACCCAACCCCGGCGGTCTCTGAGCCGCAAGTCTGAGCCCCCAAAGCCCCATGGGACCAGGGGAGCCCCCCAGGAGTCTCTAAGATCCCCAGGCTGGGGGTCCTGGTCCTCGTGATCCCCCAGCTCCACTTCGGTGACTCCACAGCCCCCTAGATACAGGGACCCTCTGACCCACCTGGTGGTCCCAGCTGTGACACCCCACCATCCCAACACTCCTGTCCCCACTGACCCCTCCCATTCTGCAGGTTTCTGGCCCCCCTTTCGCTCGGACCCTTCCCCTTTCAGCCCCCCCCACAGACACCCACCCAAGGGCACAAGGAGGGGACAAGGACCCCCCCAGGCCACCCCCTGCCATGTCTGAGCAGGAGGAGAAGACCCTTTGTGGGGGTGAGTGAGACATTGTGGGATGGGGGCTCCTCCCAGCAGGGAGGGGATGGGGGGGCTGCACCCCCCAGCCTGGACCCTCACCCTGAGATCCCACAGACCGTGAGGGGACATCCCCAGGAGTGACCCTCAGCGACAGCCTCGTCCTCACCAGGAGCAGGTGAGGACCCCACAGACCTTGGGCTGGCAGGGAGGGGGCTCTGGGCACCCCAAAGACACCCCCCCCCTCCATCCTTTTCCTCCAGATCCACGGAGCTGCTGCCCTCCTCCACCATCCGCCTGGACCGGGAGAACATCTCCTGCATCGGGAAGCTCCGGGATCAGGGAGGGATCCACAGCCTCTACCTGCAGCAGGTACAGAGCTGTGGGGCAGCTGAGACCACCCCTGGGCCTGGGGGGGACACAAACCCCCCCAGATCTGCTCCTGTCTCCCCTCCCCAGCATCCAGAGGGGAGGGAAAATAGTCTCCCTCCATCCGGGATCTGGTCCCAGTGACCACCCCCCACAGCCCCCACCCCAGAGGTCTCTGAGCCCCCCAAACCTGGAGGAAAAAGAGTTTCCCTCCCATCTGATACCAGTCCCACTGGAATTCCAGTGAGGGTCTGGGATCAGCCGCCTGGTGTTTCCAAACCCCACATGAGGAGCCTCAGGGTCCTCCTGAATTTTGGGGTCTCTCCATGTCCTCACCCCTGCAATTCCCTCTCCATGAGGGGACATTCCACCCCTGATCCCAGGACGCCCCCAAAATCCCCAAATTTTTCATGCCGCGGGAAAAACGCGTTGTTACATTTAATTTTCTATTTTCTACTTTATTTTCCGTTTTCTATCTTTATTTTCCAGAACAAAATCGAGAGGATCGAGAATTTGGGCTGTTTTCCCAACCTGAGGTACGGCAGCTCCTGCTTCCAGGGAAATGGCTTTCCATGGGCTCCCACCTTCCCTTGGCCAGGGAGGGGGCTCAAATTCCAGCCCCTGGGAGCTGTGACATCCCCCCCTCACCCTCCCTGTGCTCTCCAGGTTCCTCTGCCTGGCTGGAAACCGCATCCAGAGGGTGGAGAACCTGCAGGCCCTGCCTCACCTCTGTGCCCTGGACCTGTCCCACAACCTCATCCAGGTGCTGGACACAGGTGGGAAGCAGGAAGGGATGCTGGGGCTGCCAGTGTGTGTGTGGAATATCCATTCCCACCTTCCCTGCCTCAGTTTTCCCAGCTCTGGGGTGTCAGGGCTGCTCTAGGAGTCGCCTTGGGAGTGAGTGAAGAGCTGGGGGAGTTTGGGGGAGCAGGAATTTGGCTGGGCAGGGGTGGGGGGCTCAGGTCCCACCTCAGCACCTTTGTGCTTCCTTTTGTCCTGGCAGAGGAGCTGCCCCGGAGCCTCCAAATCCTGGATTTAACGGGAAACGAGTGCACCCGGCAGCAGGGATACAGGTGGGTCAGGGGGAGAGGAGAACAAGCCCCTCCCAAAAACCAGGGGAGCCTCTCAGCAGGGTACAGCCCCCCCAAACCAGGAGAAGCTTCGGGGTGAGCTAATTGTGGCCTCCCAGTGCCTAAAGATGGACAGAGACTTTGGAAAAGGGCCTGGAGTGACGGGACAAGGGGAATGGCTTCCCACTGCCAGAGGGGTAGATGGGATATTGGGAAGGAATTCTTCCCTGTGAGGGGCTGGGATGGATTTCCCAGAGAAGCTGTGGCTGCCCCTGGATCCCTGGAAGTGCCCAAGGCCAGGTGGGACAGGGCTTGGAGCAACCTGGGACAGTGGAAGGTGTCCCTGCCC